GAATGGGAATAATAGTCTTCCTTTTCAAAAATAATGGATAAAAGGGAAGATAAGGGATATGGATACTGGCTTAAGGGAATTCCAAAGTAAAGGGGAAATTTTTTAAAGATTTGTGTATGCTGTAAATGAAAGAAACCAGAGACTGAAAATGCAGAAAAAAATGCTACTTTTGAATTCTTGTAACATCACTATATGACTCACTCACTTGGTGCTTAGCTCACACAGTTCCCTTATACTGGCAGTATTGGAAACTAAATGCTCAATAAATCAATTTATTATTTCTCTTAAAGTATCTATGCATGTCATCACGAGCCAATAAAGCTGTACATTCTTACACAAGAACATGCAAAAGAGAAACAGTGGTGGAATTGTGGAAAGAGATTTTGAGCCGTACAGACTCAGAAAAAGGATTTTTATCCACCACTTACTAGTGTGGTATTCAGAGAAAAATCATTTTACCTCTTTGCATCTTAGCTATTCAACTGTCAAATGGGGAAGAACACCATGCATCTTGTAAGTTATGAGGATTAAAATACTTAAAAATTCCTTTATATACAACTTGGTGCTCAAGAAGTAGTACTCATCCTTATCTTATCATCCTTCTAGAGCACCTAGAAAAGCCACTGACTTTTCAGGATAGATATGTATACAATTAAGGATTAATTTAATAATCAGGAGGCATAGCAGCCATTGCTATAATGTATTCGAGAAAACCAAAGCACAAATGCCATCAGTCCTTTGGTCAGCGTTCTCAAACTTTGGCCAATGTGATTTCAGCCACATGCAAGTACTGCAACTTAGTTTTCTTTAAATCACCTCACTTTTCTCTATTGTCCCGCTCTAAAGAATTATACTGTGAAGTGGTGGATCTGTGGTGTGGGAGGGTAAGAGAATTCACCAGAGACAAAGTGAGGAGCAGAACAGGCAGAAGACCGAAAACACTACTGAGGGGAGCAGGGGGCAAGACAGGAGAGGTCTGCAACGCCATGTGGGAATCCCCTAGCCGGCGGGAATCGAACCCATGCTGCAGAGGCTGCGGACAACTTCACAGTGTTGTGCTCACCCCGCTGTGCCACCAGGGAGGCCCCCAAACCACGTTTTAAAATTGCTTTCCGTTTGCTCTACTTCTGAGACGCTTAGGAAGATAACAGGCTAACAATTTGTGAGTTTTTTTTTTTTTAAGATTTCTTTATTTATTCATACAAGAGCTGGGGCACAGGCCAGAGATGTGGGGGGTGAGAGAATTCACCAGAGACAGAGTGGGGAACAGAACAGGTAGACTGACCAAAATACACTGCTGAGGCGAGCAGCGGGCAAGACAGGAGAGGTCTGCAGCGCCATATGGGTTGCTCCCCGGATGGGGATCAAACTCGTGCTGCAGTGGCTGCAGATTGCTTCATAGGTTGCATCTTAACCCCTTGTGCCACCAGGGAGGCCCCAATTTGTGAGTTTTTAATTTTTTTTCTACTGCTGATTAGTACATACAAAGGTTTGTAGAACATACAAATAAAATCAACCAAATAACAACATTCATCTCAGTAATATACACTCAATCTTTTCATGGGAAGTTCTAAATTGTTTAAAGCTCAACAAACAATCCAGCTATTTATCTTTTATTTAATCCCTCCACTTCTATTTTCTCTATCACAAATGAACATAAAACTGGAAATAAAGGCCCGTGCTGTGGCCTAATCTGAAGAACAAAACCAAGGAGAGAAGCAATAAAGTCATGGGCTTTGTTCTAAAGGTATAGCTTTTCAGTCAAAAGAAATGGTTGGTATAGATCATCCAAGTGAAAAACTGCTATCTTTAAGATCTTAGAACACACCTCTGAAAAGGCAAACTACAATCGGTTATTAAAATACTTTTCAAGTGTATGTTTTATATAATCCAGAAAATTATCTGTTATTCCAACAATAACCACTGACCAGAACCAAGAGAGAACTTCACTCCACTGGTAACCTCTATAGATACATGCACCTACAAATAGCAATTTCGGAGTCTTAAATCCACTATATTAAGAACCACCCTATAGTCTTTAAAAGTCAATCTTAGGGTAAGTGATCTATTCATTTATGGAAAAAAATGTGTCCTGTAACCTAAAATATACAAGACATTACGGAGAATAGGTAAAGGTTGAAAAGTTTGTTATAATTAAGCATAGGGACTAAGATTTTTATATTCTCCAAATGGTGGTTCTAAGGAATGAAGAGAACTGCTGGAATTTTCCCCCTCTTCCCAACATTTCATTATGAAAAACTTCAAACATATGGCAAAGTTGAAATATTATTACAGTGAACACCTGAACAGCCCACCACCAAAATTCTACCTTCTTTATTACACTTCCTTATTACATATCAATCCATCTTATTTTTTGATGAACTGTTTTTTTTAAAATGAGGCTATGTAGGCAATATTAGGGTGGGTTGCTTTCAAAAACTCTCTTGGGGTACAGGAACAAAAAGAAAATCTGGAAATCGCAAACCCATACTCAGTGTTCAGTTACCCTACCAACCTTTAATCAAAATCTATTCAGAGTTCACAGCAGGCCATTAGAGGTCTTCACATCCTTGCCCATTATTTGAACAATCCTTCCCAGCCCTTTTCAAAGTTAAGCACCAATCTGTGAAGCCTCCCCCTCACACAGAACTACCAATGCCCATTATAGGAACTCTTTATTCGTGGTTTTCAATTAGCACACAGTATCTTTGTTTACACTCTGTCTGAAAACCTGACTTCCTTGAGAGCAGGTATCTTCTTATTTATCTCTGAAACCTCAGCAACCTGCATAGTACCTAGTCTATAGAAGCACTCAACAAATGAGTAACATAAATGACCCAACCTGTTTTACCCACAAGCCTGGAAAGCTTAAATTGAGGGAATGATCTAATCACATTGGCACTTTGAAGAGATTCAGTCTTTCTTTGGTGAGGATGCAGAAAAGAAACACTTACTCGTTGCTGGTAGGAATGTAAAATGATACAGCCATTTTGAAAGAATCTTGTGGTGTTTCCAAAGCTAAACACAATCTTACCATGTGATCAAGCAGTTGAGACTCCTAGGCATGCACCTGATATTATTTATTTTTACTAATTCAAAATTGTTTTGTTCCATTGGCACTTTAGAAAATATTAAACTCTATACTATACCATAAATTTAGGTTCAAATATTCAGAACACTGGTGTTAGATTCATTTAGACCACCCTTGTTAAGAGTATGAGCTTTGGAGCCAAGCTGCCGGTGCATGAATCCCAGTTCTGCCCTTTATTTCTGGGTGATTTTTAAAACTCCTGTGCCTTGGTTTCCTCATTTGGAAAACAGGAAAAAAAGCTTCACCAATATTTTGAGAATCAAATGTGACTTTTTTTTCTTAAGGACATAGATTAGCATCTGACACATAGTAAATGTCTATCATTGATTGGTAGACTGTTTCCACCAACTAGGTTAATAACAATGAGGAAATACTCCTTGAAGCTTGGGTGGGATCAGCGAAAACAAAATACAAAGAATGGCTGTGAAAAATCTACTGAATAATGTTCAGCCAGGGAACATGAAAATAAATGAGTGTCCTACTTTGTATGTTTAAGATAACTGACAACTAGATTTATCTATTCTTAAAAACAGCTAAAATCTACCCAGTCTAAGCACAGATTTGATTTGCTGGACACAAGGATTCTAGTAAGAAACTCTATGATCACTGCAAGCTTCTCTATGCTGGTCTTTCAGTCTCTCTGTTGATTTGTTTCCTTATTATTAATCCACCCAGCACCATTTTATTAGTCTATGATTTCCACAATTCCCTGTTCTGTCTTCTAACTGAAAACATCTCAAAGAGCCTTGGTTGGAGAGTGGGTTTGAGGTTTCATCCTACCCAACCCTGTAGTTTTCTTTTTATTCTTCCTGCTCACCTCCTGTACTTTTCAAACCTTGCTATTCTTTCCACGTAGGAACTTGAAACCTAAGAGTATGGGAAAGCCACCGAGTAATAGCAGTGGTGCCAGGCACTGGGGATGCTGCCAAACTGTTCCCAAGGCCCCATATTGCAGTGACCCAACTACATGCAGAGATTGGATTTAACTGCCCATGGGGCCTTACACACTGATATTCCTTTTTGCTTCTGCTCATTTTCTTTCTTCCACTTAACGCAGTCTCCTCCCAAACCTGTAGCCCATTCAAAACCAAGCTAATAAAAGACCAGGTGAGGGCCAAAGTCCTGAGGGAAACCTCTCCTGATCATTTTAGCCCATAGATCTCGCCAACCACCCTCAACCCCACATGGAAAACAGGTACTGAACTTACAATATGTACCACAAAGCAAAATCACATACACATTTATACCATTAAATAAAAGTTTCATGTTTGTATTCAATATATTTTACATGGGCAGGAACTATGTCTCAATGCCTTTAAAGTTCCTTACTCTCAGATGGTTAATACTTGTTGAAGAGTGACTGAATCAGTGGGATGTCTGTTTAGGCTAAGGCAGGAGGAGAGAGAAACATGATGAAATGAAAAAAAAAAAAACATGAATAGACAGATGGGTAAAAAAAGCAGCACTGGGTCAAAATGGGCGGAGAAGTTGTGGGTGTTCAATTAATATATGTCACTTGCTGAAAGGCTGGAAAGAGAGAAGAGAGATGCCGAATGTAAAAATTTAGAAAAAGGCATTTCAGCCTGAGGCAGTAGACACGTGGAAAAACGGGGGTACAAAAGAAATTCTGCTAAAACCTAGAGATAGGCCAAGTGGGCAACTGATGGTAAAGGGAGTTACTGGGATGAGATGGTAGAGATGTGGTTATGTAGGTGAGCTAACTGGTTGGGGGTGGGATGAAAGGAAGGGTAGATGGATAACTATGGTTGAGGGTAGTTAGTTAAGTGGGTTAGCTGGGCCGGCGGTGAGAAAGGTAGATGAGAGGGAGGTAACTGGATAATTGGTTAGGTGTTTAGCTGGGAAGGAATAGGTGTGCGATGTATTATTTAAGATCCGGCCCCTCCCTCACCTTGACCCGGAAGCGGATGAGTGCTAGCCTCACGCAGTGGCTCAGGCAGGCCGGTGGCAGGAACCAGGCCCGTGGAGGAGGGGTGCCCTTGTTGCCCACGTGTCCCACGATCAGTTGCGCTGTCTGCCGCTCGGCCTGGCACCGACGGCCCCATTCCGCCAGCCGGTCCTTACCCAGGCCACCGGGGAACATGACCACCAATTCCAGGCCGTCGCCGCCGGGATAGGCACAAGCCTGGCACAGCGCTGACAAGTAGCCCAGCATAGCGTTCCACTGGCCGCCACACACCCAATCCGTCTGGTAGCCGCCATAAAGCCGCGGCAGGGCCGAGCCCGCGTCCACCAGCACCCGGGCCCCGGGCAGAGGAGTGGGGGGCAGCGGGAGCGGCGGCGGGTGCAGCCCGGAGCGCGCCTGGCTGTGGTGGTAGAAGTGGTGCGCGGGATGATGGTGCCGAGTCGGTCCCGCGCCCCCTGAGTAGGCACCCAAGGCAGCAGGCGGGAGCGGCGTCTGCACAGGCGCAGAGCCCCTGATGGCGCGTGGAGTTCCGGGTGCTAGGGCAGCTGTAGGTGGCAGTTGGCGATGCTGGTGCTGCTGCTGCTGGCGCGACACTGTGCGCGCGAGTTTGAGGAGGTCCACGGGCACCACGGCCCCGGGGCACCGCTTTTCCAGGAACTCTTGGAAGCCCTGGACGCCCATGCTTCGTCCGTGGACAGACGAGACAGCGGCTGCGCTAGCAGGATAGGCGGCGATCTGGGCGCGAAGTTGGGGGCGGGCGCGTGCGCACTCTGCGGAAGGACTGGGGTGGGGGGAGGTGGAGGGGCGGGGAAAAGATTCCCGAGGGGAGGGTGGGGTAAGTGAATGAGGGCGGGGTGTAGTGGACACGAGCCCAGATTGGATTTGGGTGGAAAGGGGTGAGGCCGGCCCAACAGCAGGTTAAAAGCGATGGTGGGCTCCAGTTATGTCTCTCTCTTTCGCTCTTTTTTTTTCTCTCCGGCTGCTCTTCACCACTTCAAAGGGGGTAGGAGGATGAGCCTCTTCCATCCACCTCTGGGAGCCATGTTGCCTCGTCTTCGCTACCGTAAGCGCTTTCTAGCTGGTGGAGTGGGAGAGGGGAAAGGCGGGGCAGAGCGGAGTGGAAGGGCATCCTGGGAGTTGTGGTCTTATGGCTTCGCGCAACACCCCGGTAATCCCTTGAGGCCACAAGGTCACAAGTGGCGGGGCCTGATGATATTTGTTTAGCATTTGCACCCCAACTGCTGGCATCCACTCAGTTGCTTCAAACTATTTACCACCTTTCCCAGGAAAAGGAGTGGGGAGGGGGAGTGATGCATCATGGGAAAGAAAAGCAGTAGAGTGGATTCATTGAATTTCAACTAAAGTATGCTAAAATTTCCCAGAAGGGGGAATTTCTTCAGAAGAAAAAGTAATATGCATAGCCTTTAATGAACAAGAAAATGTTACAGGGCTGGGAGAGGGGCACCCAGAACCCTCACCCCTTGCAACTCTAAATAGGATCTGCCATCTGCTGCATCAAGATAAAACATAATGACCATCAATGGAAGGGAACTTTAATACAATTAGTCTGTAATACAAAAAAAAAAAAGACAAGGAATACAGTCTCCAATCCAAGCACCCAAACTCACCCAACCCCTTGTGGGAAAATTTCCAGCCAAACAGGGTTGGCCCACAGCAAGTCCCAAAATCCTGCCACAAGTCTAAAGCACCTTACGGCAGGGACCCATAGAAAAGGATTAGAAACAATCAGGCAAGTCTGGGAGAAAAAGTAAAATTAAAATCAAGATCAACACTGCCATTGTTAACCTCCCCACAGATCTCTCACCCACATCTGTTTCAACCAGTCAAGGATCAAGAAGCAAGTGCAGCTTGTTCATGTGTCTCTCTGCTCCATGTGCCTTCTCTAGGTCTCCTTTTTGCTCTCCATCCTTCTTCCTCCCTTCTCCAGTCTCCTCTCCAGGTTCTTCTCCTTCCAGCTCTGCTCCACCCTCCCTTGGGTGGGACATGGAACCTGGTACCTCCCCTTTTCTTGGGGATCACCCTATTACAAAATGACATATATGAGATGTAAATATAATAACCAAAATTTCTGCAGTAATCCACTTACTTTTACTGATTGTGATTCTTTGTAGAAGAGTTGCTGGCCTCAGTTAATGACTGGTGAAACTTAAAGTATTTATTTGCCCAAGGCAATGCAGAGACAAAGTGAAATTGAATATGCTTTGTCCTCAGGATCCCTTTGGACAAGGAGATAAGCACCAACACAAATTAAACTAGATTAAAGTTATACCTTTCTGGTACTGAGCTACAATGTGCTAGTGTTAGGACCTTTGTTTCCAAACCTCAGTGCAAATAAATCTGTCAGGTAGCTCTTGCAAAATAACCATAAGAGCTCCAATTCCAGATGTACAGAATCATAATCTTTTGAAATAAAAATCTATTTTCAGAATCTCCTTATTTGATTTTGACGTAGCACCAGTCTGCTGGCTTTTAGGACCCACTCTTTCAACAAAAGGGCAGAAAACAAAACATGTTCTATTCTGTAACTTGAACGGTAACCAGACTGGGCTTGGGACTTAATGGAAGGCGGTAGATACTGTCAGTTTTAACACAAAGTGCTGAACCCAAGACTAGTCAAGATGAATAAAGTCTGAGAACAGTCTATGCAAACACTGAAAACACTTCCAGCTACATAAGAGAGTAGTGGAGACAAACAAATCAGATTGGGAAGAAATAAGTAGATGGTAAAGAAGAGTACAAAGGAAACTCTTTTGAAAGCCACCAGTGACAGAAGAGAGCAGTGACTTGAAGAGATGAGTGGTGGAAGGAATAGAAGCTTTCTAGTGTAATGGACAGCTGTTGGATTATCTGCTCAACCCTCCATTTCTGGGAATTAACCCTTTCCCTACTACCCGGAGTTACAGAAAAAAACTATCATGTTCCCTATAACCATAGCGGATTGAGTCAGAGATGGACAACTGATCCAAAATGGATCAATCAGAATCTCATTCCCTAAAAATCTGGTCAGATTTCCCCAAGTGTAAAACTTGGAAGCTGTCAGCAGTCAATTTTCCCACCAAAGGAACAGAAGTAAAAGATGCTGGTCTGCAGAAAGAGAAGAAAACTTTGAATTCTAAGCAGAGATGAGAGATGGGGAGTCTTCATTGTGTTTTAATCCCAGGTTCTAGATCATTACTGAGGCATTCTTGCCCTCAGTTTCTCTGAGACAACCCCATATAATGACTATTACCATTTTTAAGATAGAGTTGTGTTAGAAACTTTTTATGACCAAAAAAAAAAATGTTAATTCAATAACTGGTACTAGAAATCCAGTGTGGCAAATTATAGAACCTAAAATATGAAACTAGTAGAGATTGGAGATCTTCATATAAGTTAATGGGATGTTGGCATTCTGTGTTATTTAACAGTGAAGTAGTTGCTTATTGCTCTTGGGATTCAAAACAGAGCTGCCCTTCTACCTGTGTCAAGAGATATGTGATTGTTAAGGGGCAAATATTCGTGGGCTTTGCTGACTTCTAGCAGTAGAACTCTCAGTCTCATTTCAAATGTTTCAGTGATTAGGAAAGTAGCATGTAGGTAATCAGACTAATGTTTTCTGTTTAAGCCTCTGTAGTACTTCTTCTTCTTCAACTCTCCCAAATGTGATGTCTCCCTCTGTAAATGAATGCAGTTGCATGCAAGGAAGAGTGGTAACATTCCCAGAGCAGACCAGATATGAGAGGCTTCACAGCCTTGAACTTATCCTGGTATTTCCTATCCAAACTCTGACCTGGAAACTCTGAGCCGAAGGCCAGGGAGAAAGAGCCATATCTTTAGGTAGAGTGCTAAGAAATAGAAGCTGCAATAGGGTGAGCTCAGCTATTCCCTTTAAAAGAGCTGAAGAGGGCCTCCCCGGTGGCGCAGCGGTTGAGCGCTGGGTTGCGAAGCTGCCCGCGGCCTCTGCGGCGCCGGTTCGATCCCCGGCTGCTCCCCGGCCACCGGAGGAGGATCCCACATGGTGCGCAGACCTCTCCTGCGGCCCGCTGCTCCCCTCAGCAGTGTACTTCAGCCCTTCTGCCTGCTCTGCTCCCCGCTCTGGCTCTGGTGAATTCTCTCACCCTCCCGCGCTTCTGACTGTACCCAGTGCATGTATAAACAAAACAAATAAATATAATAAATAAATAAATAAAAACATGCCTCTATAAAAAAAAAAAATAAAAAAAAAATAAAAGAGCTGAAGATTCAAAGCATAACTTGACGAGATTCTTGGCACTTATTAACGTTCTGAGTACCCTCAAATGAAATCAACAGGCAGTCAAATAATATTTTGAGGATTCTGTATCACTGAAAAGTTTTATCTGGGAAATAGGGAACATGAGCCAAAGCAGTGATTCTCAAAGTATGGACCACTATATCAGAATCACCAAGAACTGTTAGAAATATAAATTCTTGACTTCACCCCAGGCCTCTAGAATTAGAAACTCTGGTGGTAGGGTCAGTAATCTGTGGCTTCAGTAGTATTACAGATAAACAAAGCCCGGCATTAAAGTGATGATAACAGATTTTATTCAGTTATTGCTAATAGGGGAATGAGCAGAGATCCGTTCCCATTTGTGCGGAAGTGATTGGGCATTTTAAAGGGAGAATGAAGGAGATGAGCAAGTAAGGGCTCAGTAGAGTCAGAGAAGTGAAAAATTATAAAGGGTTGGTCAATGTAAATGCAATTAGGTCAACTATGTCTGCTAGCTGGCAGTTAAAGAAGTTAGGATTCTATCCTCCTAGAGATTGGGAGACTGAGGACTTATCCTTCTTGTTGATTACATGTCAAAGGACTGGTCCTTAAAAGACACACTCTGGAATTATAGGAGATACACAGACATCTCAAAGAGACAGGGGAAGAATTCACAATTAAGCCCTTTCTAGTAAATGCTCTAAGAAAGGGAGGTCAGAGATCCATTGTCAAGTGTTAACTAGAACAAATTAATTTGACAAACTTGAGCTTTTCTAGTGGGAAACGAGGTCTTCCAAGGGACACAAACTTAGGCTGCTCAAGTTTGGTCAAGTCTGTTAGTGCATGTGTTTAAATGTAATGTTTGTGTAGGGTTTTTGCAGGTCTTACTAGCCCTCCAGGTGATTATAATGCACTCTTTAAATTTGAGACTCACTGCTCTTCTTGAGCATGCCATAGGTCCAAGTACAGACTGGTTGAGAAAGAAGGCCATCAATAAATTGACTCCCATAAATTTTTATATGCTTGTAATTTATTTCCTTTATTTCTATCCAGGGAGAAATGATGCATAGTCAGACCTTGTAACTGATAATAGGTGCCACTATCCTTTCTTAAAAGGGAATTTTGGGGCCTCCCTGGTGGCACAGAGGGTTGAGCGCTGTGCTTTGAAGCTGTCTGCAGCCTCAACAGTGCGGGTTTGTTTCCCCGCTGGCCACGGAGAAACCCACATGGCGCAGCAGACCTCTCCTGCCTTGCCCGCTGCTCCCCTCAGCAGTGTCTTCGGTCCATCTGCTTGTTCTGCTCCCCACTCTCTCTGGTGAATTCTCTCACCCTCCCGTGCATCTGACCTGTACCCCTGTTCTTTTATAAATAAATAAATCTTTAAAATGGAATTTTGATTGTGGTTAATCTAATTATTCCTCTGCTGTTGCATATTAGATCTATTGGTGGCAGTTAAGTTTACTAAAAGTTGCAAGATCAACAGCAGCCACATTTAGATTGTCACTGAACT